AAATTCCATGCAAGAAAACGTAGAAGAAACGACAATGTGGATTTTTTCACCCTGAGTAAGTTCAGCTGCTGATGGTTTCATACTGAAGGGATGCAAATGCTGCGTTTTGTCTTTTGAGACCGGCTGGTTTTAGGAAGGTGAAGGGGTTGCCAAACCATTCAGGAGTGACAGTTATTAGGGCTCATGTTCTGCATCATGAAGTTAAAGCACTTGATTGCAACTTACTGACCAAATACTGATGTGGCAAACTATGCCCTGTCCCTATTCAATGGTGCTGCTACAATGCTCATCAGCTGCTGCAATTGTTATCCCTTCTGCAAATCCTTTTCCTTCATCAATAGTTGTGACTTTGGCCACCTTGTTGTCCCCCTCTCCTAGAAATGTCTCCTTTTTCTTTGACTACCTGCAAAAATGTCCTTCCCTGTCTAACCTGTAGTGCTAAAATTCAGCTTTTTTCTTGGGAGTAATGCCAGCTGACTTTAACTAGCTTCAGCAGGGAGACCGACACAGATATAAAGCATTTAAGCAAAGAGTTTCTTACCTGGAATTGTGGAATATAATTTCTTATAAAAGAAATATTAGGTTGGGAATATATTGCTGAATTTATTTGGGATAAAAATCTATTAGAAATGTTTGGAAAGTGTCAGCATAAATGACAGATGATTTTCCTGCTAGTTTCTATTTTCCAGCTAAGGAAAAATAAAATTTTTGGCAAACTTTGTGCTTGAGCATTTCCACATCTGCCCTCTTCCTTCTTATTCTTAGTTTCTTGTCAGGAAAGAAGGAAAGTATAAGGATCATTTCATGTCAGCCCCATCTACTGCTTGATAACATGGCCTGCGTTGGGCTCTGACTCCTCATTTGATGCTCTCACACTCTCCCACCTAGTTCCTCAGGGGAAGTACAAAGCTATAGATCCATATGTGCTGGGTTGACCCTGGCTGGATGCTGGGTGCCCATCAAAGCCCCTCTGTCACTGACCCCCTCAGCTGGGCAGGGGGAGACAATATCATGGGTCGAGACAAGGACAAGGAGGGCTCACTCACCAGTTACTGTCACGGGCAAAACAGACTCGACTTGGAGAAACTAGTTTAATTTGTTATCAATCAAATCAGAGCTGGGCAATGAGAAACAAAACCAAACCTTAGAACACCTTCCCCCCACCCCTCCCTTCTTCTTGGGCTCAGCTTTGCTCTGGATTTCTCTACCTCCTCCCCCCTGAGCAGCGCAGGGGGACGGGAATGTTGTGGTCAGTCCATCACACGTTGTCTGTGTTGCTCCTTCCTCCTTGGGTGGAGGGATTCTCACACTCTGCCCCTGCTCCAGCACGGGGTCCCTCCCAAGGGAGACAGTCCTCTGCCAACTTTTCCAAGTTCTTCCACCAGGCTGCAGTTCTTCACGCACTGCTCCAGCGTGGGTCCCTCCCATGGGGTGCCATCCTTCAGGAGCAGCCTGCTCCAGCCTGGGCTGCCCATGGGGTCACGGCCTCCTTTGGGAGTCGCTCCCTGTGGCATGGGGCCCTCCCCAGGATGCAGGGGTGTCTCTGCTCCCCCGTGACCCTCCATGGCTGCAGGGCACAGCCTGCCCTCTCACCACGGGCTGCAGGGGAACCTCTGCTCCGGTGCCTGGAGCACCTCCTGCCCCTCCTTCTCCACTGACCTGGGTGTCTGCAGGGTTGTTCCTCTCACATATTTTCACTCCTCTCTCCACCTGCCATTGCTGTCCCACAGTTTTGGTTTTTTCTTCCCCCTTCTCATACACATTATCCCAGAGGTGCTACCACCATCGCTGATGGGCTCGGCCTTGGCCAGCAGTGGGTCCGCCTTGGAGATGACTCCATCAAACATACATAGGGGAGACTCCCAGCAGCCTCTCACAGAAATCATCCCTGTAGCCCCCTCGCTACGAAAACCTTGCCACGCAAACCCCACACCCCAAATATACCAAATAAATGTAACCAAGCAGGCGACTCTGCCTTTAAAACAACTATTGAACATTGCTGATGAATCTCTGTGCACTTCCTGAGAGATGTCTCTTCGGCATTAACCAATACTTACGGCTTTTTGCTATCTGGCCCTTATTTTGCCTGTCCTCTCCTCCTCAACTGCAAATACACGTACCTGGAAACACCTCAGTGCTGGTATCATGTCAAAAAAGAAAGTTATATTTAATTTGTTTTGATTTAATGTACGTTTTTCTTATCCAACACAAAACCTCACGAACAGTTCAGGTGATGGTGCTATTTTTGAGAAGCTGAGTATCAGAGCATGAAATAGAGGGCTATAGGAAGTGTTGGGCCATCTTGGCCTGGCACCTGCTTCCCAAAATAAGGTGTCCCACTAAAGTCTCAGCTCTGAGACATAGTTCCTGCCCTGCAAGTGCTGGCAGAGGTGTCAGCCTGAAAAGCTTTCCTGAGCATGACTTGAGGCTGGCCCTGAACACTGCTGCCCTATGAAGGCAACGAGGCTTATCCCAACACTGACAGGCTTGGAACCGAGGCAAGTGGAAGAAAAGGAAGGATCCAGTCAAGAGACTGGGCATTTCTGTGGTCAGTGCAGGGTATGTGCAGGCTGCCTGCAGCCTGGAGACCATCTTTGCTGGCATGAGGCAAGCAGCACGTCTTCTGGACTGAGATGTGTCAAAGAAGACAACCATGAGCACCTGGTGCAGAGTGGCAAGCTGGGGAGGACAAAGGCAGAACCTGCGGGGTGATTCCAGTGGCATATTGTCCTTAAGCAGTATCCATGCTGTAATAGGTTTTAAGTGCAACCCTTCAGCTCAAGAATCAAAAAAGCTAAAGATTTTATGTTAATTAGTAATCTCTGGAGTCACAGAGATCTGTAATAACTACCTACAGATCAAAGATATTTCATGTTTAGCATATTTTAATATTAAGATAGAAATAACATCCTAATTTCTGTAACTAAGAGACTTGAAATTAGTATTTGCAAGAAGCCATTTGTATTCCTCTATTTATCTGGTTGAATACAGCCAGTTTTTGAATGATGTTTCACATCCAGGAGTACAATCAAGGTTTTGGTACCAGCTAGCCAGGATACAAAAGCTGCTGTATGATTTGTAGGTCACTGAAGGATTATCCCAGCTGGAAGAAGGCCCACTGCGTATGTTCATTCCCATGTGTAGGTGCCGAAGAAAATGCTGCAAAAAAAAGAAAACTACAAATGTTGGATCTTTGGCCATTGCTGGCATTGCTTTTTGTTAAGCTACTATTTTGATTGTGCTAAAACCTTATCTAGAGGAGTAAAAATAGTGAAAATATTCCTTAAAATGTTTCCATTTGCAAGCCTCAGGCCTTGAACCGGAGTAACCACATACTTGAAGATCCATTTGTCCTTGATTTCACTTCAGAAGCTTCCAACCTTCCCTGAAACTATGAGTTGGGAGTGTTAAAAATAAAGAAGCGATTTGAATTCATCTATTTATATCACATATCTTACAACAACCAAGGCAGATCCTTCAGATTTTAGGCTCGGTAACTGAGACACAGTTGTACTAATGGTTTATGATACTGCTCCAAGAGTTACCTATCCAACACACTGCTACGGCTTTCAGTGTGAGCGAAGGCTGGGCTGCCAGGGTCTCTCAGAAGCCTCAAAGCTTACTTTCATGCATAAAACTTTGAGCGCTGAGCAGAGGGGATTGCAAAAGACCATAGAGTGGCTAAAGCAGTTTATATTAACAGTGATCTGGAAAGACAAATCTTGATTAACCTCTAAATGCTTTATTCCTTACAATGGTAGTTCCGTGCCACGATGCCGAGATAGGATTTAAACAGAGCCATGCATTATACACAGCATTGTGCCAACTCTTCTCTGCCACCTTTGCTTTGAGTAATTGGGTTTAATGTAAACCAGCTCCAAGGTATTTCTGGCTAGGCTTCCTCGCATCTCGCTTTTATCTTTGTCTAGCATCTCCAATTGCATGAACAATCTTCCCCGAGGTTGTTTTTACTGGTGCCCTTTATAAATTTCCAATTTTCATTACGTGCGCTGCCTGTAATAACTCCTAACTATGCAATAATCTCTTGGATTATTATAGGCAGTGTTCTACGTTATTTGATGAGTTAACTCTCCTCTCTCTTCCTTCCTCTGTGGTTTACAATACTGGTACGGTAAATACAGGCATTCAAGAATTTAATTTGGTACCATCCTGCTGCTACATAGAGTGATCGCAAGCGTGGAGAGGTAGTCCAGACCAAAGAAGTATGATCAGCAAGTTGCGTTACTGTTTTTCTGAAAGATCGGCCCCTGGAAAGCCTTCGAGCACCGTGTGTGCCCACCTGCCTTCAGCCTTTGCAGTGGCCTGTGCAGGGAGCAGCCGGGCTGTAGCACAGCGGTTTGGTTCAGAACCAGCCTCAGGGCTGCCCTCTGCGGTCACCATGGAACCTCAGCTCCGGCCCGCTTTGGCAGCCAGGGCCCAAACACGCTTTTGTGTGTCCTCCCTTACTAAGTCTTAAAAAAAATACGGTGGACAAATGTTCTGGCTTCATGAATCCCGTTGATGGGGTAGCATTTAACTCATGAACTCCAAGAAGCAAGGTGTTGTAGGGCACTGCTATGGTCCTAATCCCAGATGAAACGCGAAATTACCAAAATACATAATCTGGCGAGGGCTGAACAGTCCCAGTATCAAAAGGAGAATCTCAGGAAAAAAATAGAAAAGCTCTGTCGAATCCCACACAGCGCAGCACCAGGACTGTCTGCAACTGCTATGCAGTTTAGGTGGGGAAAACTAAAAGTATTCTCTAGCTTTAACTAGTCCTGTTGTAAAACCCCCTGAACGCTGCTTCCATTTGGTCCCCTTGGAGGTGAGTGAGAGAGCCCTCACTCTCTGTGTTTGCTTCACTCGTGACACTGTATGAGGGCAGGCCCTAGATTCCATACACGATTCTCCCTTCCTGCCTGTCCTCTTCCACCGCCCCAAATACCCTCTCAAACCACTATTTTTTTGGTTCAAACAACAAGGCTAAACAGGTGAAATTTTAAATAATGATTGAGGATTTTTTTTTTATTCATTTAAGTTTCAATATCATTACAGAAAATGTTATGGTACAGAGGTGTTTAACATTAGTTTTATTTCTTTGCTCATTTAATTTCCACACGAATGCTGGTAACACTAATATCTGTACAAGATCAGTCTTTGATTTTTTTTAGTTTTTAGTTCTGTACATTTTTAAATGTATTGGTTAAAAAGGCTGTCAGCACTTAAGGAAGCGATTTTTTTGTTGTTTGTTGAAATAAAAGGTATCCAGTTACTGCCCAAGAGTACTGAGCCGGGTGGCTGCCGGGATGAGAGAGATCCCTGAATGCACAGCGAGGTGAGGAAACCCCGGGGCTTCATTGGGTTCCCAGCGCAGCCACTCCGCTTTTGGCACTGTGCACATCAACACGAGATACAAGATAAAGAACAAGCAGAAGCTCTCTGTGAAGCGGTTATGAAGCATACTAATAAGGGAAATCCAAGTGTTGTCTACGCTAGTATAAATAAGCAGACAGCCTTGTTTTAAGAGCATAAGTAGTTGTATCTTAAAGATGAGAAAAAACACAAGTTCTGCAGGCACCTACTGCTGTCTACCAAAAGCTACCGCTATTAGAACTAGCATTGAACACACAAAGCAATTGCAAGGAAAGGAAAAAGTTGCTTTGATATAATCAGAATAAATTTCTTTTGTTAAGATTTGTTTAAAGTTTTTTCTTTTTTTAAAAGGTATTTATTTAAATTCCATTTGAAATATAATTCAAGATGTTGACTATACTGATCAACTTTTATCCAAATCAGAAAAACTAGCTGTGCCGTTGCATATTACAGGATACAGTCAATGATATGTGGACATGCATCAAAGCTTCGCTCTTGCTGGTGACATCATAGCCTTCCAATGACCATGACATCCACCACCTCCCCCTTGTGAAGCTCCACATACTGCTCTGTCTTTGGAGGTAGCATCAACAGTCCATTGGCACTGCGCATACTCATCAGACGACTGCTCATCTGATTCCCTGCAGGACAGCGAGAAAAAACATTCAGTTTAGTTTTCAGGCAGTTTCACATGCTGCACCACACCATGGGGGAAAGAAGCAATTCACACGGAGATGCACGTGTTCCTAACTCGGGATCTCGCTGTTCCAAGGCAGAGGGAAACAGAAAACTCTGTAGAGAATCAGTCGGCCTCACATGGCTCTGGCTCTCAAAACTCTCATTCCCTTTGCTGATTGCTTCCCTATCCAGCTTTCCAGGTTCCCTGTACCTCGTATCCTCTCATAGTAAATTGCTTTTGTGTTGAAATTTCTAATACTATCAGAATTACTTTATTTTTCATTTTGTGTAACTAATTCCGACCGTACGGAGACTAAAACCAGCAGAGTCTAGAATGTTTTAAATATACTGTTGTAGAAAGAGTTAAATTAACTGTATTCTTCCCTCTGAACAGGCTCGTTCAGCATTGGCAGCTTAGCACTAGTACCTAAGGTAGGTGAAGCCTTAGGCCGCAAGAGCTGATGAAGAGCAATCTTTCTGATAAAACTAATGCTGCTAGCACAGAACCAGCTGAATCCAGCAGATGCCAGCAGTATGAAGAAGATAGGGACCAAGGAAACAATTCCAAGAGAATGAGGCAACTTCAGAAGAAGGCCAAAGAAAAACAATAAGAAATCAAGAGACCACCGACCAGAATTAAGTGACTGGACTTTGGGATCAGGTGCTGGGCAATACGAATACAACTGAAGGGTGCGATCTGGGGTAGAGGTCCCTCTTCAAAGGCACCCAGCTGGACCTGTAACCTGGGAACTAACAAAAGAGGAATTGGAAACCTCCACTTGGACTTCACAGTTTTCAGCGGGATCCTCGGGTCGACCGTTATGGTGACCAGCTGCATAAATCTAGACTATATACCACCTCAAAAGAATGGATTTCTTTGGGACACTGAGCTTCACAACAGGTCCGCAATATAAGCAGCATCACATTGGCAGTACTGACCAAAAATAAAAATGCAATAAAAAGTTGTGCCCTTTAGTTTCTTGGTTTTCAAACTTCCCGATTGAGAGAGAAATCATTCCAGACAGCCTGCTTGCGTAAGGAAAGAAGTGGTGCACAACAAAACGGAGTTAAAGCAAATGCAGCGTCAGAGATGCAAGTAATAACCTTGAATGGTACCTGGAAATACGTCAGAGGGTGTGTGATCTTGGGAGTCAACAGTAAAAACTTTCTCTGAGTAAACAGTAAGAGGCACCCGAGCTCCTCTTTTCCCTGTGGAGACTTGTACATCGTGCTTTGTACTGAACAATTTGGATGTAGGAAAACGACAATTAGTTGTTTAGAGACCTGAAACTCTTGAGAAATAGGCAGAGTCTGTCTTCTAGCAGTACACAGCTGAAAAAAGTATTGAAATGTAGTATTTACCTCACTGCAGCTGAATATCCAAAAGTATCCCTAGGTGGCAAACATGACTAATGAAAGCCTTAGTCTGCTTTAAGAGAACACATACAGCCTCTGCTCTCTCACCTACGTTTCCAGTTCAGCTGGAACTGCACTTCTTTTACATGTATTCTTCCTACCTACGCCCCAACTTGTGCTCGTTTAGGACACGCACAAGAGCAAAAATAAGCAAATGTGCCACTGAGTGGAAGTAAGCCGGGTGGATGTCTCTAAAAAGGAATGCGTGCACATACACAAGCATACAGGTGTATTTTGTGTGCACGCGTGTAAAGGCAGGTTATCCAGACAAAGGAAGTATTAATGGTTAAAGTGGTAAGTCATATCATGACAGCGTTGTATACAAATGTGTGTGTAGGCATGTGCACTCGTATGTCAGCAAATCAGTCTGCGTAAGGAAGGTTGTACGAAAAATGTGCGCGCGCCTGGCACGTTTTTAGACAGGGAAGGCAAGGACCTGTGTGAGTGCGTCTGTCCGTCTGCATGGCTGAGCACTAACCTGTACTCTGTGCCCAAGGCAGTGGTTCTTGGTGATGCCAAGTCAGTATGCACCGATGATATTCTGGGCGGGGGTCCAATTTTACATCACATGATAACTGTAGAAGCAGCAAAGAAAGGATGAAAACGTCACGCATTCAGATTGCACTGTGTAAGGTAACAGAATCAACAGCTCAATGGTTTTTCTTTTAAAACAGTCTTTCTAGAAAAACTTGCATTTTAAGGTCAGATGGGGTCCAGTGCAAGAACAACAGCTGTAGAAGGTAGAAACTGCAGTATTTATGGGAAATACAACTGTGATATGTCAAAGAAATTCTTCCCGGAGAGGGCGGTGAGGCACTGCAGCAGGTTGCCCAGAGAAGCTGTGGATGCCCCATCCCTGGAAGTGCTCAAGGCCAGGCTGGATGAGGCTTTGAGCAACCTGGTCTAGTGAAAGGTGTCCCTGCCCATGGCAGGGGGGTTGGAACTAGATGGTCTTTAAGGTCCCTTCCAACCCAAACCGTTCTGTGGTTCTATAAAGTGTATGATGGAGTCTACATGCATTAAGTGGAATATTTCAAAATTGTTCCTTTACTGGGAGTTTAAAGATAGTATTGCTCTTCTCTGGAGAAAAGCTTTCTTGTTTTTGGATTACACTGCATAAAGATAAAAATTTTATTTGCATTCAGAATCCTGCTAGCTCTTGACAAAAGGGAAATGGCCACTCTTTAAAATGAAAAAAGCATACAGGGGATGTCTCACAGTGAAATTTAACGGAACACATTGGAAAATTAATGCAAAAGTGAAGGTCACTACAAATTGCTCTCTTTTTCAGAGTATTTTAGCTGTGAGATAAAGAAAAATCTGGATACCTAAGGAAGTGCGAAAGAGAGACATGGGATAAACAGTAAAAGTGCATAACCAAGAACACTAGGAAAACTACAAAAGGTGATCTGCTCTTCAGTATTTTATTTGAATAAAAAATAGAAGAATACACATTATAATAACGTGCCTTGAATCTACATTAAACAGAGTTACAATATCCATGATTTCTTGTAAGACTGAAATGAATAGTTTAGGGGTTTTATATTGCTTAGGGTGGGGGTCATGTGGATTAGCCATATAAATAAGAACAGAAAGGCTTTAAAGTTTATATTTTCCATTGCTAACACAGAACGATCCAACTCTTTAGGGATTTCCAGATTACTCTGGATTTTTTACCATAGATTAGAACTTTTTTTTTTAAACAGAAAAGTGTCCTTCCTGCCCGACTGGCAAACGGCTGCCTCTGCGTCTGTGTATCTTGCTCCATCTGACAGCCATCTAACTCTTAGAAATCATGGGACCTAATATTACCTTTAACAGAGATTGAGAATGTACAGTGTTTTGTGTGAACTTCCTTCAAACTTGCCAGAATTGGTCTAGGGCTCAGACTCCCCAAACGAGAGCCTTTCAGAGCCCAGAGAGCTGTGCTTCAATACCCTGAGACAATTTTTAAATAGAGGATGAGCTTCTTACCCTGGCTTTGATGATGGTGGGCCGAGGATCTAGGATACCCTGCATTTTCCTCAGTGCAGGAACAACAAAGAGATTGCAGGTGACAACAGCTGACACAGGGTTGCCTGTAGGACAAAGAACAGTTGGTGGTTATTCCCTCTCAGTTTACTCAGTGAAATTCTGAAAGTGATCTCAAGTTTTTATAGCAATTGCACTCTAAAGGACTTTAAAGAGCTTTTCAGACCACATATAGGAAATGTTTCATTCAAGACTGGAGTGACATGCGGCAAGTACACCTGTTGAAAGCTACACTCTGGTTGATGGTGGGCTGAAATCCTGCTCTGGCCAGAACTGCCCCATGTTCCTCAAGCCCTACCATTTGCCTCTGTTCCTCTACTGCCTTTTGCCTTACGCCTAGACTTGTCTGGGGACAGGGCAGGTTTTCCTGTGCACGGGTACAGGTCCTACCTGACAGGGCTCTTGATTCGTGACTCAGATTTCCAAGACCCATGGAAAAATAACTTTCAATTCCCTAACAGAGTGGTAAAATGATTTAGTACAAATTCTGAGGAGAGTTCTACTGATTTATAGTTTTCTGTTGACTCACAAGAGAGGTGTATGACCAATATCTGTCAAACACCACTTGCCTTACACATCTGGACTGTTCTAAAATAAATACTACGATCAGACAGATGTTCCACTGATGTCCCCTGGAAGAAAATGTACTGCAGCAACTAAAACAGGAGAGAGAAAAAGCACTAGAGATGCACCTGAAAACCACCATCTTATGAAGAACGGGATTCCTTGTGTAGTCAGAAATCCATGCCAAGCCAGAGCAGTAACAGTAAGTTCCTCCTGATTTAGGAGGACGGAGATTTGTAGCCAGATCCCCAAGGAAATGTTGTTCTGAAGGCAAAGCAACGCTGCCCTCTTTCGGTTCCACGGCATGATCACGATCGTGACAGAAAACCCACATTCTGTGACATGTCCGTTGGCACTCCCTTGATTTTGAGTCCATTTTCAGTATTTCCTAGCGGATGCACTGACTGTAGGAAAAAACCCACCCCTGTATTGTACCACTTAGAGAACCCACGGAAATTGTTGGATGGGAGAAACCCTAAGGCCTCTACACTGGCAAATTCGGAGAATGGGAACAAAAAAGCACTCCTTAGTATATCCCTATAAGCCTGTCTCTTATGAAAATTTCCATGAAAAACTTACAGGTACCTTCCATAGGCATGCCAACACCAGTCATAGGTGCTGTGAAAGGTCACCGTTCTGTTTCATGTCTGCCATCTACGCACAGCAACAGAAGTAATCCACAAAACATCTTACCTGGGAGCGCAAAGATTATTTTTCTTACGCCATCAATATCCAGAGTTGCAAAAGTTGTTGGCAGGCTATGGAGAAGGAAAGCTATTTAGTATCTGCACTGGACTTTGACTGAACATTACGATGTTATTATTTAAGATATGTGGAAAAGAAAACAGGATGTCTCTCAGCTGTTCATTAGCACCTGCTGCTTATTCCATACTGGGGGTATAATCCTCTCTCTGTGATGACAGAATAATTAGTTTTACTTGGTACTCAGCTATGAAGTTTTAAGTAGATGATTGTGCTTCTGGTAAGGAAACATCTAACAGCAGTTGAACTAGTAATAAAAAATCTAAATCCTGTCTTCATGCTAGAAGCCAATTAATAACGAAGTAATACCAAAAATATGCAGTTACAGAGCTGTATTTGGTTGGGTTTTTTTGTTTTTCATATAAGGCTCTCCAAACCTTTTGTAACATTAGTGACTCTAATTTCCCTTACTGCACTGTCTGCAGCCGTAGTGACAATGGAGCAGCGCCTCAGAGCAGCAAATGCTAGCTAGTCTACAGACGGGCAATTCCAGATAGACAGCCAGAGCTGCAGTCCGGTGAGACCTGGATCTATCAGCAAAGAGCGGCTCTGCCTTTCAGAGCTGCTCCTGCGTGATCTATAGTGACCAGTGACGCGACCTATTGCAGTTCCACAAGTAGGACAGTAAGGTGACGCCTCAAGAATGTGGCTGGCAAAGAGAAGTTAAAAAAAGAAGTTTTCTATATACCCATGCTAATATCATCCTTTTAAACATTAGAAATGATACTTTATAGAAGCAATTATTAGGCTGAGTACCATGGCTTCACCTTGAGCTAACAACCACCAGTGGGGTCAGCAGATGCTAGCTGATGACCCGCAGCAGCTCCGGAGATTTGCCATGCTTTGATCATGACTACCTAGCTTTGTATCTGCTAGGACTGACCGACAGCCTGTTTTACCAGGAGGAGTTGGTGTCTGAAGTTTCTGTTTTAAAACGTCTCTGACCTAATGGGAACTGTGTGCCAGACCTGCCAATCTTATAACCAGTGCACAAACTGAGGTACCAAAAATCTAATTGCTAATTCCTCTTTACTGGAAACTCTGAATTCTCATATGAGATGTCAACAACATAATTGGTAAAGTCTTCCAGTACTTTCTTCTGGCAGTGCTGCTAGACAAGCTCAACCTTACATTAGCTTAGCAGCTTTCAAATCAAGTGGAGGAATGGCAAATCCCAGGCATCACTCTGCAGTTGTGTAGCACATCAAAATACAGGCATGCAAAGCAAATGCTGGCTTTGCTCTTGGAACTGACTCAAGGGAATTTTTCCCAATATAATAATCACAATTGATACCTAAGGCCTTTTAAGACAGAATTAATAAAAACTAAGACTCAGTATTTGCTATTGCACTACAGCCAATGAAAATGAGTGTGCTTGCATTCTCAGTGACATTAGATGACCAAATGTTTTGGTAGCAGTAAGAAATATATTTTCTACAGCATAAAATGAAAATGAATGTTTGGGGAAAATAAGATTTCCTAAAGCTTTTCTGGCTGGTTATTAAAAGTTTATTGCTACAAGTCTACAGAGGGATCACCAGAAGAATTACATTTGCTTTCAGATAAGCCAGAGCCAGAATTTAATATCCTGAATTCTCTAACTCAGGTTATCCATTATTGTCAGCAGCAGAGGCTGGAGTGCAGATGCCACTTTTGGGACCTCCCCACATCAGCTGTAGCAGTATGACAGAAGCAGTGAGCAATTTCCATGCTTGTGCTAGATCCAGCACAGGAAAAAGCATGTTGTCAGCTCATTAGTTCCTTTTATGGAAGGGAGGTGGTAGCACAAACACCAAACCCACATGCAGTTCTTCACTGGGTTGTATGTAGAGACAGTGAAAGCGTTTGTCTGTTTCCTCAGCAAACACCCACTTTCTATTCTGCTCCCTGGCAATGGTTATGGGCTAGAGGGAATCATTCTGTGAGGGTGACAGAGTACTGGGACAGGCTGCCCAGAGAGGTGTTGGAGTCTACTTTGCTGGAGACCTTCCAAAGCTGCCTGGACTTGTTCCTGTGTGATCTACTCTAGATGATGCTGCTCTGGCAGGGGGGTTGGACTAGGTGATCCCTAGAGGTCCCTTCCAACCCCTTCCACTCTGTGAATCTGAATTCCTCGAAGTGGCACTTGGCCTTGTGATACCGGGCCACGCCAACCTGGCTTGCAAACAAGGGACTTTCCTGGAGACCTTCCAAAGCTGCCTGGACTTGTTCCTGTGTGATCTACTCTAGATGATGCTGCTCTGGCAGGGGGGTTGGACTAGGTGATCCCTAGAGGTCCCTTCCAACCCCTTCCACTCTGTGAATCTGAATTCCTCGAAGTGGCACTTGGCCTTGTGATACCGGGCCACGCCAACCTGGCTTGCAAACAAGGGGCATCCCATGGTCAGTGAGGCAGAGCTGTACATCTTTCTGCTACTGTACTGAGAAAGGGAACTCCCTATTTTTGACACATGTAGTTTTCATTTTCTCTACAAAGCACACTTCCAGATTCATTAATAGGAAAGGGAAGCAATACTGAAACAGTTTTCTGAGGCAAACTACACCCATAAAGGATTGTGTTTACTTTTAAATGACTATGCTCAATATGCCAATTAGATAAAACTTTGTAAATCAGCTGTCATTCCAGCTCTTTCAAGAAATTGCTTGTTTGTAGGAATACGACTTATGCAAATTTTGAAGTGAGATGAGATGCTCATTAAGCAAACCAGCAGTTAAATGTCCTTATATTTCCCAGTTATTTCATAACAATGTCAATATCTGAGCTTTCTCATCATAGTGAAGAGCGCGGCCGTGTTTACACCATGCTGGTTTGCCCCCAGTCCCCCAATCTGATTTGCTACAGTTACCAGAGAAATATCCCTTACTGATAAAAAGTAATGTCTCTGTTCCAGTTAATTTCACCCATAAAGATGATGACTAAACTGAATAGGACAGATTTTGCTTCTTTTCCCATATATATCTACCATGAGGTTTATAGTATATTTGGAAAACTGAAATCTATCGAAGCACTTATATAGGATATTTGGCCAAATATAGCCTCCATCTATGCTGCCTAAGTAGAAAGATTTCTTACCCTGGCTTCATAAAAACTCTGCCAAAGTGAATCTGTGCATGAAGATCAATATCCAGCACCTGTTTAAGATAGTCCTGTTTAAATTAAAAAAGAAAATTAATTAAGTAACATCAAAGTGGCTTACATCAACTAAGCATTCAAAGCAATTAATTAATATCAAGTGAAGATGAAAGACTTTTCATACCCTGAAAGTGCTACAGTCAAGTGGGGAATTTCCAGTATTTGAAAGGAAGTATTTTCAAAAAGAAGAGGTGAGGAACAGACCCATTTTAGGTGCCAAACCTGACTCCACGAAGACATAGTAATATATTTAGTTTAAAGTCAGCTGCAGCATCAGAGTCTTAGAAGACCCCACAAATACCTATGACTAAAACATTCTCTATGTAAAAGATGGAAAAAAGTCTTTATGGTTCAAAGTTAAGACTTAAAATCATCCAGTTATTTAACTTTTGCCCTGGACGCTATCTAGCAGTAGCGCTAGCGATCTCCCAGTACCTTGGAAATCAATACTGTACTGTAGAAATCATAGTTTTCCAGGATACTGTAAGTATTGTAATTTCTTGGGGACATGGTCTGATTCACAGTGGTCTAACAGTCCACAGAAAGGAAAAACTGCAGGTGGCTTGTGTACTGTTCAAGTTAAATGATTTTGCATAAATGCAATCGATCCAGTTATTAAAACAAATCAAATTACTTGTTCAGTCTTTAGTGAAAATGGCTGTGCTCGAAGGCCTAGTATCCTGTCTGTTGTGTTTAGTGAGATTAAAGACACAGGACATGAGTCATGTGTGCAGAGAGACTTCGGAAGCAGTAAATCTGAAGCTCGCTTGCAGTTTTCCCACCTTTTTATTTAATTTTTTCTTGTGTGTGTGTTCAAATACTTGGAAAGCAGCAACTTTTCTCAGCCAGGCAGGAATTCTCAATTAGTGATTGCATTAACCCTGTTTTTACTTTCTTTTTACTTTTTGGATGTTCACAGTTACTTCACTGAAACAGCTGAAAGCTCAGTATCCAAGGGTTAACCATCAGTGGAACACAGAGCCTACTGACTTCATGCTGTTGCCTCAAATTCAGGCTGGGGAGAAATTAGCCAGAAGTCATAAATGCCTGTAAGACTGTTCAGTAGTCCGGTCATTTCCTAGTGTTCCTGTGTCTGCACTATGTTGCCACGTTCCCAGTCTAAAGACCAGCACCTGTCCTTGCTTATTCTACAAGGAACATTGAGGACAATAATGGGATTGAAAGCAACTGGCACTAGTTTAACTAGTTATCCATTTCCATGATGTATCCAACAATATGATTTCTACTCAGAAAAGTGACAAAAACAGCACTCATGTTTGCCATCTCCTAGTGACTGTCTCTAGTATCTGTTAGTTATAAAAGGAGAGATGTTTCTTTTACCTGCCAAACTCACAGATTCAGCCTGGGATCAAAAAGTAATCTGAGTTTTCCTTCGCATAAGTCATGATTAATAAATGTCCTGCAGGTTCATCTACGCCCCACCAGCATCTGTGTATCCCTATTTTCTTTGATGGTTTTGGCACAGGGATTACCAACAGGAACTCAATCAACAATTCTGTTAATGATTCAAAAGGCAAATATATCAGCTCACTCTGTCTCGTATGTATTGCCTCTGTAGGACTATCAGGTGCAAAATGTGATAAAACTATTTTTGTAACAGATACAGCTTTGGCATATTCAGGAAAGAGATCTGCTGAGTAAGAAAGAGCTATTTATATACTCAGGTTGCTTTTCAAAGTACTTTCAAAGTAGCTTTATTCTCTCTATATTTTACTTGCGCTAAGCATAAAAAGAAGTCTGTTGCCTTCATGTGCTATTAACCAAGCACCTCCCTCATCATAACTCCATCAATCGTCCCTTAAATAAAACCCCATTTGCAAATCACTCACACCAAGAGTTAAAATCTTCCCTGTTGTACCGTCTGCTATAGTACAGTAATAAAAACAAAGGGAATGAGGATAGCACCAAAGACTATTTTCTTAATGAATTCACATTTAAGTGTTCCAAAAAAAGCAAGATCCCTTTTTAATAAATGTTAATACAAAAGCAGAAGCTCTGATGACAGACTCTGGCTTGAAATTCTTACATATATCGTAGCAAGTCATACTTAAATTTAGCATACCTTCTCCCCCATAGATACACCTCCTGATGTAATGATGACATCAGCACGGCTGATACCCTCATTCAGTGCATTCAGTAAATCATCTGGGCTACAGAAAAGAACAGGCAAGCTGATTAGTGGCATGAAACTGTTACGAGTTGTAGTGTAAGTGTCTGTCTGCACGCACGCAGATGTATATACACACAGGAATTTTAAGAAAGAGGTAACAGCTCTAGGATGATAGGAGATATTTTTCCTCTTAAGACTCCAGTCTGCCCTATTCAAGAACTGCAATCTCATTAAGTGACCCCCACACCGTTTGGAAGCTTTCTCTCTCAGAGCCTTGCAAAGGGAACAGTGAGGTACTTTGGGCTGGGACTGAAGAACACTAATACAAGTGTCTAAAAATATGTAATTTGCACAGTTGGTAGCAATAAAAATTATGATTTAGATGAACTGACAGGGCTACATAAGGGCACCTGGCACATGAAAATTACTGGCCCACTGAGCAGGCTGCAGTACCACCTGTCTGGCTTATTTGATGTGTGCAAAGATGGGGGTAAACTTCCATCAGTGAAAAGTAGGAGTAAATCCTTCATTTATCGTGGGCTCTGCAGCAAAGCCAGCTGTACATCCACTTCATCTTGAAAAAACACAGTCCATCCTGTTCAGATGTCTACCTTCATGAGAAACAGCGTAAGGGGAGCTGTGATGTTGTTCCATACAAAGAGTATAACTGCAAAAGTGAAGAATAGAAGCCGAGCATATTTCAGTTTTGGTGCCTTAACCCTTTTGATTTTTCTTAGTTCTAAACTGGAAGCTTTGAAGTGGACATTAGCGATCTAGCAGCAGCACTGGTGCTAATACAGAGCTTCAAGGCATGCAGTGGAGAAACTCAGTAACACAGCTTACACAACAGCAAAGGGATCCAGAAGAATTTCCAATAGATGAAATGCATACTTTGCACTTAACATTTGTGAACTGACCAGAGGCCCACTGATCGCTACGACTGTATGTAATGTTCCTTCAACAGTACGTTTTCACTTTAATGACCCTGGAAGTTTTTCATAGGAGGCTGTTACTTCAAATGGAATTGAGCGAGCGGGCAGTAGTGCTAGTGACTGTACGAAGGACTCCACCTGGAATACAGCACCTCAGTTAAATGCCACACTGCAATTACAAAATGCCATTACAGGTTATGAAGGCTTTTTCAGGCTGCAATTGGCACGTAGGTGATCCTTTGGGAACTCTGGCTACCTTTCAATAAAAGATAGAATCACTGCAGTTATTCTGGGGTTTGAACTGGAAACAGGAAAGATTAGAAATACAACGCAAGTCCTGACTGACCTTTCGGAGACTTACAGAAACCATGTGTTTCCAAAGGTCTCAGAGAGAAAAGTCCTTTCCTCGGAGCATCACGTCTTTGCCCATGGTTTAGTGAAATAGGAACAGCAGTTTTATGTGGTGCTGTGTGCACAACAATTCATGTGACAACAAGAAAGCCTGTGCTCCCTCTCTGAGGAGGTATCTGAAGTGCATGCAACCCTGCACACTCCTCACCGGAGAGCCCTCGACTGTCCTCTGCCTGGTTAGGCCTCACAGGCAGAAAGAGCCAAGATCTTTTCTCCACCGTGTCGCAGCCTCTTCTTCGGCATGGCAGGTGGTTATCTGGCAAAACCTTTCTACTGGTGTTGGGTTACGTCCTCTCTTGAGGGTCATATTGCGTTGTAAGAGGTAGGCAACAAACTACAGCAGAAAGAAGAGCAGACTGCTGGTGCTATAGTATAGGCTGTATTCAATCAGATAAAATTATACACTACCATGGAAAACAATGGCTGCAGATATTGCTGCATGCCCCCACGACTTTTGTTTAGGGTACTGGGTATCTTGAATACTCTAAATGGCCTATAATGAATGGCTGAACTCTGTTTGCTTTGGGAGAAAATACAAAACGTTGAGACAAGCAAAAATCTCCTTCTTTGTTCTTTAGTAAATAGAGCTATTTTCTCAGCTGCCCCCTCTGAAATCTCAGGATCATTTTGGTCAAAAACGAGCACAAGTCTTCCCTAGTTGTTCAGGCAAGAGGAAGGAAGCAAGTCTGTCATTGGCTACTATTAGTGTCTTCTTCAGAACTAACTGTTTCATTTTGATTGTCTAAGTAGTAATCTGGATGTAATAAGATATTTCTTAAGATTACTGTAGAGTTTGTAATAGGAAATGTCTCTCAAGATATAAGTATTCCTTAATCCCTGCCAATGAGCGTGCAGGCTGGAATGTAGCAAGGAATACATATTCATTACACAGGTTGATACAGGCCTTCCTGAAGCTCAATGACAGGGAGACACTCAGGCCACTATTACTAGGCCAAGACTACTTTCAGCTTATTTTTCTCATTAGGTTGTGATGCCGTTGGGGACCTTATCTGGAGCTTGTTCCAGGCGGTTTCATTTTATCTTGCTTAATTATTTAAAAATTACTTATAGGTAGCCAGACCACCTGTCTGGGGACATCTTAATTCTGGATTATGAAGTGTGCTTGCTTTAGGCTGTGGTTTGTGAATAATGGAAGGAATGGTAAAAAGCAAACGAGTCTGTAGTTAACTGTTGTTAAAGTTAAAGAGAATGTAAATTTTCCTATTTACATACCTAATATATATATGTGTATATACGGAATTAGGTAACAAAGTGGAAAAAAAAACCCCAACTACCCCAAAATAAGCTCAAACTCAAACTAGGTGAGGACTCCATTCACACCTTTGTTTATGAGGGTAGCATACCACTGGAGTAGTTCACCATAGAGGTTTTTTTATTACATGTCACGTAAAAAGTGGAAGATTACTGGACTCGGTGCAATTTTTTTAGCATTGTCAGTAGAATGACCTGTAGAATATACCCCTTTCTTTACCATCTGTATAACGCAAGACAGTTAAAAATTCTACCACTAGAACTTTATCCAGCACTGCGTCATCTTTAGATAGCTGCAAAATGCCTTGAATTCTTCCAAAATGAAAGATGCGATAGAAACTTTATTGTAATAAACTGAATGATTATGCTAGTTTGCTTTTTATCCTGGAGAAAGGAGACCGCATTCCCTCCCTTGCCTTTGCAGAAGGCTTCTCTCTTTGTGCCATATTTCTTTTTCCCACTCGGATCTGTGTAACTTTCTACCCTACTTGAGGCTGGTAGTTCCATGCCTCTGCAATCCACACAAAACACACCTTACAGGAGTCACCTGCTGTAATCTTCAATCAACACTGCAGCAAACATTTTCCTTGCTTTTAGTGGATTTAATGCAGAGAGTTGTCATTCAAAATGCATATTAACATGTATTTGATATAATCAGATTAACAAGCTAGTACTTCTCATTTCATTTGTTGTGTAAGAATGAGCAGATTCTCCTTTAGATTGACATGGAAAGGGAACAAATAATTGAAGATTATTAACTTCTGAGAGAATAGACAAAATAACATTGAGACCTGAGCCTAACAGGACAAGATTATTCTAATAGGCCTGTGACAGATCACCAAGAAGCTGTGAAATAACACTCGCTGTCTGATCAGGTACAAATCAGATCCTCTCTTCTGAAGCCCTGGCCATTGCTAGGGGCAGGATACCATATTAGCTAGACTGATGGTCTAATTTACTATGATAAATCCTTTCAAATGCCTTGTGAAAGTGCTATTCTTGAATTTTTTTTCCCTCATGGACAGGACTGTAACAGGTGCTCAAATATAATGGTGAATACCTTATCAACGTAAAGTAGATTCTGATGGGAAGTGTCATTTCCAGATGGCACATCTACTCTGCTTCATTTGATGATTTTCAAAGGCAGAGTGACATTGTGCGCAAGAAGGGGGTGTGCTTTTCTAACATGCTGCAATTGATTAAAAAGTTATACTCTCTGTATGCTTCAGATCACATCCCAGCTTCCTTTGTAAATGCAACTAAGAAAATTTGTTCTGTAAGGATTGCATACAGTTTACAAAACTGTTTATATAGGTAAGTAAGCACAAACCCAAACTTTCCCTCCACAGTCAAAATTCCTATCTACGGCAGATTGTGCCTGCACAAATATTATGTGTATTGTACGTGCATTTCTGAAGCTGCAAACATAATGCCTTGCATAAATTCCATGTACTTCTAAGTATACTTTATATTCTCTGGTAATTTTGCCAGTCCGATAAAGAGAGTATCTACTTTACTACCTCAATTTCCTGACCCTCTTCATTCAGTTTAATGGAACAGAATGAACAGTACAATCTGGAAATTAGTTGGAGGGTATCTGTTGTGTAGTGGCAGCAGCGTGTGTAGAATCCAGTAAGCAGATGCATGACACTGCAGTTGACATGCTACTTGATTTCATTAATTTGAAAAGAGGGCTTGCAGGATGGCAGGCTACCGGAACAGGAACACCTTCTGGATTCATGAAAAATTCTGATTATCAAAGCTGTTTGTGGAAAACAGTTATGCAGCACTTGATTACTGAGCTGTCTTTGAACTGAAAATATACACAGGAGCTTAGGAACTTTAACAAGAAAATGATGCAAGTCTCATTAAAACAGACATCAGCCATGTCAAAGATTTCATCCCTTATCTCTCTCCAAAGAAATAGCTACAGTACTGTCAAGACCACAGAACTCTCTCTGTTTCAAGTGTCATTTTGAAGTACCCTAAATTACAGTGCAATTTTCTCTTTCAAACAGAAATCAACGTCTGTTAATTCAGTTCTGTTGAGCCTATTGTTGTGCTCCAGTGTCATTAATTATAAATCTGTCAGCCTTTTCTGTGATACAACCCTCAACACCAGCAGTCTGATACATGCAATTAAACTACTCATTTTTTAAATTTAATTTAGAAAACAAATAACAACAAACGGTGATCTGCATCACCTACTACTCTGTAGTAAACTGAGTGATCGCTGTGAAATCGAAGTGGACCATGTAGTTAGGACTGACTTATCAAGCCATTGTCACAGTACAAAATCCGTAGCTCATTACTAATTTCCAGGACCATTTCCACCAAGTTCTTTGCCACAGTAGTCTCATTCATTCCAATTAACCTCATTACCTGACAGTAATTTCCAGTCCTTGTTGTTCATTGCCATACAGAG